GAAAGGGTGCAGTCCCAAAACAAGGGAGCCTCCCCGGTGGTCGACACTCCACTGATCTCAACTCTTTTTCCTCGTTGTTCTTGACAAGCTGAGGGAAACAGAGAATGCTAGAGGAAGAAGGCGAGGAGACTGCCTCACCATCAGCGCCGGCAGCAGGCGAGAGAGGGAGAGGCTGTGAGAGGGACCAGGAAGAAGAAGAGGGGGAAGGGGAAGAAGCATGGAGGGAAAGGAAGCAAGGGCTAATAATGGAATTGTCGGAGAAGCTAATCAATGGAGATCTAGACGCCCAAATCGAGGCTGCCAGAGATATTCGTAAGGTCGTAAGGAAGTCGTCGGTGAGAACCCGCTCAATGTTCGCTGACGCTGGTGTCATTCAACCCCTCATCCTTATGCTTCTCTCATCCAACCTTGACGCTCGCCGTGCATCTCTCCTTGCTCTCCTCAACCTCGCCGTCAGAAATGAACAGTATATTTCTCGGTCCCCTCTTGTATCTGTATATCATATTGCCTTCAAACATGACCTTTTTTTCTGTTATTTTGCACGTAAAATAATCGATATAATCAACGTACTTGGTGGATTTTGAGTCCAGACCTTTTATATAATAATTTTCTTTTTAAATGTGATGAATTTTCTCGCCGGCTTCCTCCCCTTCTTCTATCTTTTTCTTTTTTAAGGAAAAAAATAAAACGGTTCTTTTTATTAATATCTCGCGCTCAGTGGTGTTCTGGGGAATTTCTATCTCAAGTTAACATTTTATTTCTGTTGAAATTTTGGAGGGATTGATTTTCAGGTCTTCAGTTTGGTCGGCGTTGAGATTGAGATATAAGGTTTATGATAGATTTCTGAAGAGAAATTCAGCCTCTATAGAATCCAAGACAATAGATGAAATAAGCAACTCAAAACAATTTGGCAATTATTTTCCTTCAATACCATATTTTCTCAGAAACCAAAAGGGGAAAGGGCGTACGTGGATTTTTTTTGGGTAAAAAATACCCTGCAATACTATTTCTATACCTGATGATTTGTGGGATGATATAGATCTTGAGTTAAAACCTCGTGCTTCTAAAGTGAAATATTTGATTGTATGGAATTAGTTGCGCTTGCGTTAGATTCTTATTTTTCTTCTTTTTAGCAAGCTATTTAACGTTTCAACCAGATCTAAACTAATAAGTTTTTATACCTGTTATGAAACACAACTTTGAGGAATCTGAAAGGCTACTTACCTATCATTTTGATCCATTTCCTTGTTCAGCAGAAGAATGTCCCATTTTAATTGAAAGATGGATACTTCCCAAGGATGGGGAGCTTCCAATTGTCATGTTGTGATGTTTCAAATTGTTAACTTAAATATCAGCCATTATTTGGCTGAATGATCGGTACTTCTACTCTCCCTCTGAGGTTGTAGTTTCGAGTCCTGAAATTGATTCCTGTATATTGTCGTTAGGAGCTTGGTTGTGATTAATGTATATGTGCTACCTGATTATTAGTAAAATGTATGAATTTTTACTAAAAAAGAATTGTTAGCTTAAATACTTCACTCCATGTTAATTTTTTGGAGTTTCCTACTGGCGTTGTTATATACATTCTATTTTTTTCCATATGAATTATTGTTTTCATGACGTGCTTCTTGGATGGGTGCTTGATTTCTCCTAACTTAATTTTATGTTTATCAGAAACAAAGTGTTGATAGTCAAAGCCGGAGCTGTTCCTCCTCTTGCGGAGCTTCTTAAATCCCAAATGATAGTGTGAGGGAATTAGCGACTGCAGCTATTTTAACACTCTCAGCTGCTGCCCCCAACAGGCCAATTATTGCTGCTTCTGGAGCTGCACATCTTTTGGTTCAGATCTGAGATGTGGAAGTGTACAAGGAAAAGTTGATGCTGTTACTGCCCTGCATAATCTTTCCACTTGCAAAGAGAATGGCATTCCTATTCTTGATGCTACAGCTGTTTCCCCACTTATCAACCTCTTGAAAGAATGCAAGAAATATTCCAAGTTTGCTGAGAAAGCGACATTCCTACTTGGGATCCTTTCAAACTCTGAAGAAGGACGAGTTGCCATCACCAATTCAGATAGTGGGATCTTAACATTAGTGGAGACTATTGAAGATGGATCACTTGTCAGCACAGAACATGCAGTTGGAGCTTTACTTTCCTTGTGCCAGAGCTGCCGGGATAAGTACCGAAAACTCATTCTTCAAGAAGGTGCAATCCCAGGGCTTCTCCGATTGACTGTAGAGGGTACCTCTAAAGCTCAAGAAAGAGCCCGCACCCTCTTGGACTTGCTTAGAGATAGTCCTCGCGAGAAAAAATTGGCTCCATCTGTTTTTGAAAGAATTGTTCATGACATTGCTGCTAGAGTTGATGGAGCAGATAAAGCAGCTGAAACTGCCAAGAGGTTACTGCAGGACATGGTTCAAAGAAGTATGGAGCTCAGCATGAACCAAGTCCAGCATAAAGCGTCATCATGTCCACCTTCCAAGATTCCGTCCAGATGATGGTCTCCTTTTCATCTCAAGAAGGGACTTTACAAAAACTGGTTTAGGGTTTTGACCTGTTTCTATTTACTGTTTGACATTAGAGCCCTTGTCTTCATTCCTCATTCCCATCAAAAATAGGAGTGGCTAAAGTAAGATTGTTCTCTAGGATGAATCCCTGAGATGATATTGTTACTCTCATGGATTTCTTTTCTTCTTTTTTGTATATCTTCAACTTGACCCCTGATCTTGTGTATATAAAAAACCTCACTGTACTAGTGCAAAACATCTTACTGGCCACAGTTTAGGCTGCTGTGTAGCATGAATAATGAATCTGTGTTTGCAGTGGTAGGGTAACATGGTGTTTGATTGTTTGAAACATTTTCTAATTGGGGGGTCATCACAAGATGGTAGGCTCCTAAACCAGGATCACAAAGAGCCCAACCCAAAGGGTCCCTCCTCCCCAGTTTCCTGAAAAAGGTAGCCTGGTCATTCTGCAATGCAGATCTAAAAAGCAAATTTACTCTGCTGACAACCCAGAAGTTTTTAGAGGAAAAAGAATGTTCCAGAATGGAATTTCAACATGCATATATACAAATATCTGTATATAAGTTTGTTGCCGAAGATCTGAAAGTTCACAGTAATTTCTTCTTACAGTGTCGGGAGAGAAGAAAAAAAAAATCTATAAAGTTAAGGAAATACCATATAAAGGAAAGGAGCAGGGTGTCATCTTATTAAAGCTTGTGTTAAATTTATATTCCAAACCCTGATGCAGGCTCTACTGTTCTAAGCAGATGAATCTATACATAAGAGACAGGTCTTATAATATTTTATTTTTATAAATAATTTATAATAAAAATTCAATTTTATACATCTGATTCGTAGTTCAAATTTTTATAATTTAATTATAAATATAAACAAAAATTGACTCAGATTTTTCTGTAGGAAGACAAATCTTGTCAAGAAATCCATAAACCAAAATAAATAGGACTGGTGTCGTCTAATTTACCTCTTTGCCACTGCTTTGACGCTGTCGGTGGACAGCGGCAGTCAGTCATCTTCATAAAAAGCTTTTTATAATTTTAATGACAATTAAAAGATTACGAAATCTTAGATTGATCCACCACCATTGATTCTCATCAACACGACATCATTGACCACGTGTAAGCATCCGACAATACTTGTACTGTTTTCCCTGGTGCATCGTATTAAATCCCCTTCGTAGTTTAACAATTACCCATCCATGTTTTTAACTAAACATAAAAAAAAAAAAGAGTGAGAGAGAAATCTATCTAAGCGAGCTAGCTAGCAAACAGAAACCCTCTCCAGTGGAGAACGAGAGGAGAGAGATGTTATTCAATTTCTGAGCTAAGTTAGCTTGATTACGGAAGTGGAACCAAGAGGTAAGCCAGATTTATGAACAATTTAGATTCATTCAAGTCCCTTGATTTTCTTTTTTCTGGAGTTAATCTCTTAATAGGATCTTGAGATCTTCATTAATTCTTCCTCATTATTGTTTCTTTGCTCCCAAATTAAGTAGATTGCTGTTGTTTCTTTCAACTTCCAACTCCGGATAACCACTCCTTCGTACTTCGTTTTTTTGTTTAATTACTTTGGGGATCTACATATAGTCCCGTTTCTCTTTCTTCTTGCCTGATCTAAAATCCTAAAGAATCTCGTCATTTAATTTATTTCTTTTTCTGAGTGTTCGTACTTTTGTATTTTTGGCTTTCTAGGTATTCTTGTTTAGTGTTGTAGTGGCTAGATTTAGTTAGCAAACCAAAGCTTTGGGATCGAGAAAGATGTTGGGTCGATCTGCGTTATCAAGAGCCGGAGGCTTTAGGCCTGAAAACCTAGGCCAAAATGCCTTGGCCATGATAGGCAATCTTTGCTTCACTTTGTTTGTGGTAGGAGTACTGGTGTTCACAATTATCGCGGCTACATATGAGCCCGAGGACCCTCTGTTTCACCCATCAACGAAAATGACCTCATTCCTCACATCCAAATCAAATGCCACCTTCAAAGCTGATGATACTGTTGTCAAAACCGGGGAGGATTTCATGGGCCCGAACCAAACGGCATTTGCCACTTTTATCAACATAACGGACGTCGAAAACCCAGAGAATACCCCTGAGGTTACGTCAACAGATTGTGATGTCAATGCGCCTATAGATTGTAAGGACCCGGAAGTGTTTCATTTGATGATGAAAGCAACGATAGAGCAATTCAAGGATATCCACTTCTACAAGTTTGGGAAACCAACTCCTGGTTCAAATGATAGTACCTGTGATATGGCATGGCGGTTTAGGCCTAAGGATGGGAAGACGGCTGCTTTTTATAAGGATTATCGGAGGTTTGTGATAACTAGGTCGGCTGACTGTGCAATCACTGTGGCCGGAATGGGGGAGTATCATTCAGGTGTGAATGCAAGAAAGAGGAAAAGGAACCAAAAACCTGGATTTGAGAAGGTGCCTGAAAAGGAAGAACAACAGAATTTGTTGCCAGTTGTTGGTGAAACTGTGAATGATTCCCTTCCAGTGGTTGAGTCTGAAAATGTATTTAGTCATGGTAAGTACTTGTTTTATACAGGTGGTGGGGATAGGTGCAAGAGCATGAATCACTATTTGTGGAGTTTCTTGTGTGCTTTAGGTGAAGCACAGTATTTGAACCGAACTTTGGTTATGGATTTGAGTCTTTGTTTGTCATCCATTTACACTTCCTCGGGTCAGGATGAGGAAGGGAAAGACTTCAGGTTTTACTTTGATTTTGAGCATTTGAAGGAGTCAGCATCTGTTTTAGATCAGGGTCAGTTTTGGTTAGATTGGGACAAATGGCAGAAGAAAGATGGTTTGACTCTTAACCTTGTGGAGGATTTCAGGATCACCCCAATGAAGCTTGCTGAAGTGAAGGATGCTTTGATTATGAGGAAGTTTGGAACGGTGGAGCCAGATAATTACTGGTACAGAGTGTGTGAAGGGGAGACAGAATCTGTTGTTCAAAGGCCATGGCATCTGTTATGGAAATCAAGGAGGTTGATGGATATTGTGTCTGCAATTGCAACCAAGTTGAAT